TACAATGACCCAACATCCTATCATATACTCATCCCTAAGGATCCAAGTACCCTTTGAGAAGGTGCTTGGGGTGGGTTTGGAGGGTCCAAGTACCTTTTGAGGAGGTACTTGGATCCCTGGAGCATAAATTCTATCATAAATTTATATACCATCAAGTCTTTGTTGGACCAAAACTGCTGTCCTTACGCTCCTTGTAGGTATGGCCACCGACGAATCAATCCCCCGCACTCCTTTAACAAAGGCCAACACACTTGGATGAATAGTATGCATGCATGGTTGAAACAAAAGTACGCCATCCCGGGAAACACAGGAAACGCAACAGGCAATCATCTCCATGATGGCTTGTGATGCCATATTCAGCACTAGCACTTTCCAAACAAGTACTGGACTTGCATGATTCTGGCTATAGCAGCTGGGGAACCCACTTCTGAGTGCACTTTGGTCGAACCCATAGTCTAAGTGGAACAAATGCGACGAATTCGGCGCTTCTTCAGTTCGTGACCCTTTTGGAGTCCCGAGCTTCAATCAGAATCAGTGACCTTTCCACCAGGCGGGTCGTTCGTCTACCCATCCACCCATGGTTCGATCCAAGTTTGGAAGAACCACGAGTTTGGCGGGGCACCATGGTGTGAGCTGTGAGATCATTCAGGATCAGGATCAAGCAGCAATTTCCTTATCTCAAGAAGTCCGTCTTTCTCCAGAGTCACTTTTTTTGTCGAACGAGCTGATCAATCCGATCTTCAACGATCGGAGCTCCCAACCATTCCGCCGCCCGGCAAGGCCTCGCCGCGCCGCGCGGGACGTGTCACACGCCTGCAGGTACTTGGACGCCTTGAGTGTCCAAGGCCGGCTGGAGGTGCTGACCGCGCCCGGGGCGACTGCACGTGTTTGGGCGGTGGCATAAAGACGACAGTCACCAGAAGGATCCCTATGACTACGATTGTTGTTGTTATTCAGTTACTATAAACTCATTATTGTTAGTCTATTTTTCATATATGTTTATTATACTGCTATTCATTCTGTATTCTGTACTAGGTGTTTGGATCGTTTGGATGGTTTTTGGAGGTTGGTTGTGGTTTTGGAGTTGTGTGCACAAAACCCGGAGGGTTCTCGCACCTGGGATCCCAATGCAAGAATCAAATTAAAGCTAGTTTAAGGGTTCTTAGTGAAGCTACGACATCGATTGTTACATGGTAGGGTGAAAAGTCTTACAATATGTGACAATACTCGCACAATACAGAAGATTTGTAGAGGGTTTTGCTTTTCCATTTATCACAGTACAACATTGTGCAACCACATTTGGTCAATCACATCAGTAACTTCCCATCATGGCCATTCCCAAGGGCTCCATGAATGCAGCTGTGCCCATCCGGTCCCCTGGAGGCTTTTGAACACATCAAAGTTGCTGGTCGTGGCCTGTAGGGCCAAGTCCTGGTACACGGAAATGGTATTTTGCAGACGTCTTCTGTTCACCCCGTCTCCTTTGCAACAGGGAGGAAGGTGAGGGCACACCATCCCGATAGATGGAAGCTCGCCATTGGAAGCCCAGCCCGAAGCCCATCGTGGCCTGACTCGGGGCGACTTCAGCGGAGGAGGCGCAGCAGCTCTTCCAACGCTTGCAGTGCAGCGGCATCCGGCCCAATGTTCGCAGCACCTCCGTCACAACGTGATGGCCATGTGATGGTATGTGGTCACATGTGGGGACGGGGGGGACGGGGCGAAAGGTCCATCCAAATTTTGTTGGAAGATTAAAACCCTTAGGAAGGGACTTCAAGGGTGATAGTTTTGAGATGCACAAAATGACGGGAAGTGTTTTTGCTGGGTGGAGGCGGTGAAAGGTGGCCAGATGTCCAATTTCCCCTTTGTTGGATTCGATGAAACGGAGCCAACATTGGCATGTGGCAGCTGCCAATGATTTGTAAGGTGGGTATACACATATTATGTTTATGTTTACTTATATGATACCTGTCATCCTATGATATCCTATGACTACTTCAGGTTGATCAAACACCCTCCCTCAGCCAACAATGCAAGTGGAACATGTAACATACGTAGGACGGAAAACGATCGCTGACGCACTTCGGTTGTGCATTGTGGTTGTTCACCATCGGACGGTGATAGCATTTGGTTGTGTCGACATTGCTTGTTGACATTGGTTGTTGGTTGAGGGCGCAAGCCCATAGCTTGTTGATTGGAGTTGCTACCAAGTTCATGGTAGCGGAGCCCCTTCCTGGGGGGCTCCCGCCATGGTGCTTGACAAAGGAGCTGAAATCCCGACCTGGTCAGGAGACCCTGTTGAGTTTGAAGCATTCGCTACAGCATGCCGCTGGTATGAAAAGTCATTGAAGAGCTCAGAGAGGCAGCAAGCAGCAAGTCGGATTTGGGCGAGGTTGACCGGACCAGCACGTGCAGTGGTTCGGCACCTAGATCCCGATGACTATGAAGCTGATGATGGGCTATCACGCCTTGTTGATGTGTTGAGGAAATCTCCACTACAAGCATTGCCCATTGCAGACAGTTTCAAGCGGCTTGATGCATGGCACATGTTGAAGCGGTTGCCCGGTGAGTCAATCCCCAAGCTTCTAGTCAGAGAGGAGGACATGTTTGTGCAGTTACAATCTGCTCTGACTAGGGCTCGGGAAGACCGGGGTTTGTTGGCACCTCCCATGATTCAGGAAGTCACTGGAAGAGGACCACCTTCAACGCCTTCACAGAGTCCAATGGCTGGGATGCGGTTTGTTGAGCGTGAGCGCACTGATCCTGTGGTGTCCACACCTCAGGCTCAGCCCGCCTACATGCCTGATTTCTTCGAGGACGAGCTCAGGGGGTATCGCCTGTTGAAGGCGGCGAAGCTGACCAGTTCAGAGAAACAAAACATATTGACCCAAACGGGCAATAGCACCGGCTTCCTCCAGATTCGTCGAGCATTGCGGACATTGTTTGCAGAGGAAGAAGAATCGCAACATTGGGGCCGCAAGCCCAAGATCTGGTGGCAGCAAGAAGATGCTGGTTGGGATGAGTTCGATGAAGCGCCATGGGATTGGGAGCACGATCCAGGTCCCTCATCATGGGAAGATGGTGAGGAAGAAGCATACTGGAACTGGACCTCAGACTGGCAGGATGACGCTGGCGAGTGGGAGTGGGCCGTTGAAGATGAGTCCATTCCTCATGAAGAGGGTCAGGATCCAGCAGAGCAGCAACTACGTGAGGCTTACGCCCTTGCAGGTGAGGCCAATCGAACCTTGGCTGACGCACGAGATGCCGTTCGTCGTGTGCGTCAAGCACGTGGCTATTTCGCGCCAGAGTCGGCGACAGGCAAGGGCTCAGCAACGAAGGGCATTGGTAAGGGCAAGGGCAAAAGCAAGTCGTTTGGCGGCAAGAGCAATTCAGGTGGCAAGGGCAGGAGCTTTGGTCCGTGCTTCGTATGCGGAATGCAAGGTCACAGCTACAAGGACTGCCCTGACAGGTTTTCCAAAGGAGGTGGCAAATCGTTCGCCCGCAGCTCATTTGGTCGTTCACCCGGTAAGAGTTCTGGGAAGGCCGTGCAGTTTCATTCATTGTCCGTGACCCCTGGCATTTTCATGTCGGACGTGACCGAAGGCACACGAGTCATAGTGGACACAGGTGCATCGGAAAATGCTGTAGGTGCTGATTCACTCCAGCAGCTGCTCGAACAGTCTGGTTTGATTTACACTGTTGATGTTCATGATAGACCAGTGTTCAAGTTTGGGAACGGACACCAGGCACAGGCATTGAGCCGAGCGGACATCCAAGGGACTTCGATTGGTGCAGTGAGCTTTTACGTTTTGGGCCATGATGCAACTCAGACTCCACCACTGCTTGGAGGCAAGACCTTGCGGCAGCTCGGGGCCATGCTGGCCTACGACAACGACCTCTTCATCTATCGAGGTCAGGATCCTCAGAAGACCTCGTGGTATGCAGTGAAGATGGGAGCTCACCACACGCACCATGTTTCTTTGGATTTGGTTGAAACAGCCACTGTCATGGAGAACCCCCACATGTGGTTTGCAACAATGACACCTACCCCGGCAGTTGATGAGCAGTTGAATGAACCCGACAAGGGCATCTACATGTTCACAGCATCTTGCACTTCACCTTCCATGCCCACTAGCGATCTGGCTCAAAGGTTGAGAGATCTTCAACTCCGGCTTCGTGATGGAAAGCAGCCGTCTCCAACCATGTGGCAGTCAAGACCCACGGTTGACAGAGTGGCCATGCAATGCACGCCACAAGACGGGCAAGATCCGGCAGAATCAGTTCGCGAGCTGGTCGACATGCGCTCGCTGTGGACTCAGGCTGACGTACGAGGTCAAGCCCAAGGGCCATGGGGAGACAAGGTCTGCTGGACCCCATCCGAATCTGGTTCGCCTGGCTTTGGACCAGCTCCAGCAGTCAATGTCAGCGAACGACTGCACGGAGAAGATCGTCATGGGCAAGGTGATGGAGTTGAAGGGCCTCCGCAGAGAGGTCTGACGGAGACCATGGCAATCAACCTCACCTTCCAGGAGTATGCCAAGCAGATGGGAGCCCAGGTGGAGAGCAAGACATTGCTGCCGGAAGCGCAATCCTCAGCGCCAAACGAGGCAAGTCCGAAGAAGAAGAGCGAGGAATCAGGGATTGCCCAGTACGACCTGATCCGCATGGCCGCCGCGGAATACCTGCTCAAGAAGACTGGCATGGACTCCCTCGATCAGGAGGAATTCAAGGCTGCAGTGGAAGCCCACATTGCCAAGGCAGCCGAGGAAGCACCAGAACTTCCGAAGACGCCGGTCAAGACCGAGGGCAGGATGAAGATTTCCAAGAAGAAGATGATGGAGCCAGTGGACATCCTCTCATCAGAGGAGGAGAAGGCGATCCCCAACGCGGGCTCGGCGGCATCTGGGCAGCATTGAAGAGTCTCCAGCGAAGGCTGAAGGGTTCGGTTGAGAGCCCCACGACACCCACGTGCACTACGAGCACTACGACTCCAGTGGATGAGCATGGAAGTCCAAAGTGCCATTCAGTTTCAAGGCAGCCAGCGAGATGATAGCGCCAGTCGGCATCAGGGCAACTTGGTGGAGGAGCAATTGCCACTTCCAGGTCCTGGAGGAGGAAAGAAGCATGGAGTGCCACCCTCAACGGCACGAAAGCTGGCAGCCAACTCAGCAATGCTGAGTGCTATGATGGTGATGTCTGTTCGAGGGCTCTTTGGACAGCTCTCGAGTGGGACAGATTTTGTTGAGATTGCGTGTTCACCTACATCCTCAATGACGACGGCAATGGAGGAGCTTGGACACCATTGCACGAGCGACCAGTTTCCTCTTGGAATGGGTGTGGCTTAGTCTCCAGGACTAGTTGATACTGTGTATATATTTGTATTCTTCAAAAGTATGCAGGCAGATAGAGAGAGAGGCTACACACTGCACGCACAAATCAATTTCTGCATACCGACATGCATGTCTCCATGCCAGAGATCATGTCATGCGAACTCCCACCAGCCTCCCCGGTCTCCGCTGAAACTCAGTAGCCATGGGACAGACCATATGGAGAGCTGCTATGGCAACCCCAGTGAGTTCAATTGGATGTCTTGCTCTCTCACCGTTCTTTTCCCCAGTGTCTCAATCCTTTGTAGCCTACAGTGCCAGCCTCCAAAAGGTCTCAAACATACGTTACGCATTTTGGTTGATCAGAGAAGAACACAGCCTGGTACAGCACTGGAGCGCCGGACCGGCACCACCTGAGGCTTCAACAGCCTGATCAAGGTTTGTGCCAAGTCTGTCTCCGACTCTGGACCGGCGGGAGCGCTGGCGGCGGCAGAAGGTGCCTTCCGGTCTATGCTGGAGGCGGAGGTGCAACCGGATACCATCAGCTGCTCAGTTCGCAGGTGCGAGGGAACCAATTCTCGGCATTCCATGCGGGGGGAGAGAACCTACTGATCCTTGATGAGAGCTGAAGCAGTTTAAACTTACCCATAGTGCACCTGGTATAGTTCCCAGAAACAAAAAGAACCGATCAATGGTGAATGGCTGATCAATGGTGAATTGGGCGGCATGGAATTTGGATCACTCCCCGCCAAGATAGTTCGATAGCAATGGGTTGGTGGAAGATTCTGCAAAGTTTACGGTATCCCTCTCTTGGTTGGATGAGTACACACCTAAGGTCAGTCTACAATACACGTCCCTTTTGGTGCAGGGTGTTCGGACCCAGATGCAAATCGTTTGGTTCCCCTCAGGATGGTAGGTGGACCTGTGCTTCTACGAGCAAACTGATGAGGCCCTCACAGCTTCGCCAGTTGAAGAAAACACCGATCGAAGCACCTTGCACTAGAGATCTTCAGCCTTTGATCCCTTGAATGGGTTGAAAAAAAGGAAGTTCTCACGTTTAGGAGTCGGAATCCGCACGCGTTCACCGAAGAAAAAGCACATTTGCGAGGCTACAACTCCTTGCATCCTGGCAGAGCGTGGCAGAGCGGGAGCCGGGGATACTTTTGATGAAGCATTTCAGAGTCCATGATTCATTTACTCTTTGACTCACTTCCATGGGAAGTGGAGTAGTTGTCTTCCTTGCGGGACCATGCCATCCACGTAACCATGTTAGGGGGTCAGACCCACGGTTGGCGGAGAAGAGGCTTTGGTATAAGCTGACCGCGTTCAGTTTAGACCCTTTGGCTTCCTGGTGTGCCCCGACCCCAAAACCAAAGGACATCAAAGCCACATTTTGGCTGGGAGAGATGTAGGGGCCCAATTCCTGGGAGGGTCCTGGAGGGGGATTCCTCCATCTTCAAGACCTTCAAGTTCTTCCCTATAGCACTGTAGATGAGCCTTAGTATGCTTAATGTCAGGGAAAAAATCGATCCTTCAGCTGTAGTCTTCGGATTTGTGAGGAATTCACTTTGGCTTTAGACCTACCCCGGTCCGGCCGGTCGTTTGGTCGGCCCCGGATGCCGGTGCGACCGCCCCAGGTGCGACGCCTGCGCACGAGCGGGGGATTCGGAGAGAGCCAGGGAGTGGCTGTGCGCCATGACGCAGGTGCCAGCAGCAGGAGGGTCGTGTTTGGTTTGGCCGCACCTGTTGAGCTAATGTAGACTGGTTGATCTAAAACGTATATATCCCTACAAGTCAAAGACCTCATTTTACTGGAGATTGTCATACAGAACCAATACTTAAGGACTTGTAGGGTATGTTTTCTTTTTGGGAATGTATTATATATATATATTACATCACCCCGAACATGGATTTTTCCAAGCCTCATCAGATGGGGGGGGGGTTATATCAGATGAGTCGATCGATATGAGGCAGTGGGTCAAAACCTGGCCATTTCTACCCTCCTGAGTTGACCACCTAACCGCAGTTGATTCTGTTCATTTTCAGTTTTCAGTGGTCAAACAGCCATAGGTCCCCTGCTGCCATGGCTGACCCATTGCCGTATACATGATGTCACATGTCTTGACGACCGGTGAAGACTGAAAAACCCGCTGAAGTCATTCCAGAGAGCAGGGTGGCGCATGGACAGAGCCCGGCGCAGAGTCCGTCAGCGCCGAGCCGGGCGGTTTGCCCAAGTGTTTTGGGGGAGACGCGACCTGTGTGGGACTGGATTAGATCTACATACATCTTGGGGTGTTTGATTTCAGGGGTCAATGTGGCGGTAAGATACATGGAGCATCTGGGATATGTAGGGGGTGTCAATACAGCGATTAGATGTCATCGTCGATCTATCGATTAAAGTAAGCAAGGGTCAGTGATCGGCGCCTCCACTCTGATTTTGTTCGGATGTGTGGCAAAAAGGGAGGTTTCGATCCAGGACCTACAGTAACATCTCTCAGAAAATGGTGGAGGACACAGAGTTGAATCCCCGTAAGTCCCTCATAGATGGACTTGTTGCCCTGGGCCACCTGGTGCCTAAAAGGCCCGTCCAAATGTCAGCGACCCGAGGCCAGCTTGCAGCCTGATGTGGTCAGCAGCAGCACCTTAATCCGCCTGGGCGTCCCAGCCTGGAGCGGGGAGATGTGGGGTGTGGAGCCCATGTGCGGCGTCCATCTCAGGTGGCCGATCCTAGCCCTAAAGCTTCCGAGATCTTCGACTTATTCGAGAGTCTACCCTTTGACTCACTGACATGGAAGTGGAAAACCACCCGAGTTCATAAAAGAAAAAGAGATTTCCAAAACGTTCTGCCATTGTCTAAATCTTTTCGGGAGAGTCCCTTCTTCTTTTTGGTGGTGGCATCTTCAGCAAACGCATTGGCACCGCAGGGTAAAACAAAGTTCTGGTTTGACAGCCACCTTCGATGTTTAAGTTTTTGCAGCAATCTTAAACATCATCTTGATCCTAAACATCAACTTAAACCTCAAGTTTACCTTGCTTGGGGCATTTTAGAGGTGTTGCAAGGCAAACTTGATCCTAAACGCTTTTGGCCAGGCCATCTCGGTGAAACCTTCTTCAGGTTGTTTTTTCCCCCCCCACAGCGCTTGTGGCTGTTGAAAAAGCTGTTCCAGAGCGGTGACCAAAACAAGGTGCTTCCCAAGTGGCCAACCTTTTCCAGAGAAGGTAAGTTTACAGCAGAAGGGTTGCTATACTCAGCATAGTAGCAGAACCACAGCGATGCCTCAGCGTAACCAAGTGTAATCGGCGTGATGCCTTAGAGCCTTTTGAGAGTGGGTCGCTTGGATCAAACTTATTTAATACGGGCACTTTTGCCTGCCATTGCCAACCGCCTTCACTCCTGCTCGCTTTTCCTGCTGGGCCTGGGCCTGTCTCTCGTTACTGTATATGTTTCATGCTTGCCCCAGAGCGTTTCTTTTCTAAAGTCTTTTGTTTCAGTGCTTTGCTACGACAAGACTTAGCGACAATTTGATCCAGCTCTTTCGCCACATCATGAGGTAGAAAACCTGAAGTACCTGTGGGTTTGCCTTTCGGCCGGTTTCTTCCCCAGCTACACCTGTCATCACCCCCCCATCAGCTTCTCAGGCGCTGCTCCTGCGCCCCAGAGGGGCCACTTGCTGCAGCAGCTGCGGGAGCAACGTCAGGTGTGGCACTTGAATTGGCCGCACGGGCGGTGGGCGCTGGCGCATGCGTGATGGTCGGTGGGAACCCACGTGCAATGCGGCGTGGCAACAAAGCTTGAAGATTCCAAGAGCGGGGAACTGCAGAGACGAAGTCGGACAGGGACATTGTTCTTCAACAGTTTTCCAGGAAGAGACAGAAACACACAAGTGTAGATATTCCAGACATAGGCTGTTTGGGATTTAGTTTTTGATTTGATAGTGCTTTGCTTTTCCTTGTGTGGATGTCTATTTTTTTGTGTTGTATTTGCGAAGGGCATGCTGGTCCTGGTATACTAACTCGGGTTTTTTTCATCAACACCCCTGGTCCCTGTGGTTTCTGATTTGCAAGACAGAAACCAGGCCATTTAGGCCTTCATTCACCCTGTGTTCTTCGCCCTAGACACCAGAAGCACATAGAAGTATCAAGCCATGGTGGGCGAACTCACCCACTGCAGGGATCTTCGTGACCTTTTGACCTCCAAATCGCAATGACCACGTCCTTACCGCAGAGGCTGTGGATAGCTGGGCCTATGCTGCGGCGGCTCGTCCGGGAAAATCAAGCACAACGAGCACAACGGGCCATGGAGATGAGGTGCGAGAAGCCTCAAACAGAGGAGGATTCCCAATCATTCTAGTCAGCAAATTCACTGACCACACTTCCGTTATAGGACTTGTTGCCTTTCTTCCTGCCGCAGACGTTGGCGGTGACCAGATTCATTTTGCCGGGGTGGGGGCAACAACTATTCATGATCGATGAATCATTGTGGCAATGGATCCTAGATCTAGAGGCTGAACCAGAAAACCATTTGTTCACACTTCCATGTTGGTTCCAGGGAGTGTAGTTGTAACCTTTGACAATCTGTGGATTCACCTTCACCTTTACCAAGGTCATTGATGCGTGTGCACAGCAGGGGGACCTTCGCCAAGCCGGGCAGTGGCTTCGCGCCTGCGAAGAGGATGAGAAGATGGGTTGGCGGGCACCTTCGGCAGTTGCTCTACTAAATGATGTGATTATATTAAAAAAACGCACACACTTATCACACTTGGACTTTGAATACTATAAGTTATACGTGTGATTGTTCGTCTGCTCTACGCGTGGGAGAATGCGGGAAAAGGGGTCAAAGTACCGGAGTGTCGCTGCGTGGACTACAAGTTCCCTCAAAGATGGACACTACCTAGGACCCACAGGGGGTGGTTAATGGACACCCCTTAACCTCTCAGGGGATATCAATAGACACCCCTTAGGGTGTCCTGGACTATTTTACCAAATGTTATTCACTGCCCAGGCGCTCCATGTATGCCATATATGCCTACATTGGGGTGGTGCCAGGGGGGGCCAATTGATCGGCATATATTCCATACATGGAGTGTTGGGCAGGGAAAAGGTTGGGTGCTTGTGGGCGTTTTACAATGCCGTGTTTTTGTGCGGGGGACTCCGGTGTGAATTAGACACTGGCAGCCGGGTCTCCCAAGCATGACACACCCAAAAAAATGATGCTTTCTACCAGCACCACCCATTTCGGGTGGTTTATAGACCCCCCCTTGACTATCCACTTTCCATCTAATAACCACCCGAATCGGGTGGTTGATTTTATCAGCTGTTTTTGGTTGTTAGATGCACAGGGGGCGGCAGCCGATGAGCCGGGCAGCAGCCGAGAGAAGAGATAGATGGGTTCTCCATCCCTTTGACACTGCGCAGCCACCACACGTTTTTACATAACTTACCCATACACTCCATGGGACTGGAATATATGCCGATCACCCAATTTGAGTTGTGAGACCGGCCGCGTGGTTTTTTGCAATGGGTCCCGTTGCGTGAGGGGGGAGAAGATCCCTTGCTTGCATCATGGGGGCTGGACGCAGCTTGCATCTGGGTTGGAACCCCAGTAAGTCCCTTTGGACTTGGACAACTAAATTAAGAGGGAAGCTGGCATTTAACCACGACCTGGTTACCTTAACCACGACCAGGTTACCTGAACCACGAGAGGTCTCCCAAACCACGATACCACGTCTGTGCTAGGATTCACCGAGGTGGTCTCCAACCCTACACCCAACAAGAAAATGCCCAAGGATGCCAACCCAACCACTTCGAGAAGACAGGGATGTCAAATCACGTCAAATCCCAAAACATCCAACATCCATGGACTGTTCGGGTTTCAACGTTCTTGATGTTCCATGCTTTTGACCAGACAGGGGATGTCAAATCGAAGTGCGGCTTGGAGCAACGGCCCACCCCCAAAACTTCCAGGAGCATTCGCCCAACTTGGTCACCTACAATTCAGCTGCTTGGGGCGAAGAGCGACGCGCTTCCACCGCGTGCGGCACGGGCGGTGGGCCGGGCCATCGGTTGCGGGGGGCCATCAGCACTGCGAAGCACTGCGGCCGAACCATACTGAAGGTGTTCTTGTTGGGAGTGTGGGACTGAAAAGGTGGAAGTGATGTAACTCGTGGCCATCATGTGGATGTTAAGAGGATCCTATTGATGTAACAGGTGTAGAACCACCATCATCAGCATGTTTTGTTATCAAGTTGCAGGATCGATCCTGTGCATCTTCAGGAGTAGGCAAGCCGCTCAACACTTAGGGAAACCCCCTCCACTCCACTCCAGGAGCTGGGAAGTTCGGTGATAATAGGGGAAGCAGCAGGAGAGAGTCAGAGACAAGCAGAGAGGGTCAGTCCGTGTTACCCACTCGCTGCCCAGGTCTTGAACACTTGTGCTTCGCGTGGAGCTGCCTCCGCTGCTGAAGGCTGGTTGGAGGAGATGCTGGAGCGGAGGCGCGAGGCCGTCGGGGCGAGGTTTGGCGAGGCTAGGGGCGAGGCGATGGGTGGATTGGGAAAGGATCAGAACCGCGGATGGCCTTTTGCACTTGGTTGGTTGATCAATAGATGAGACACGACCCCTAGTGGACCAATATAATTACAACAGAACAGCATGATCAGAACAAAGCCAACTGGTTCATTTCCCTACCTTGTTGTTTAAAGAGTGATGGCCGGTTCAGGTCTCACCAACCAGGCCGTTGGCGTTTCCGAAGAGGCCTCCATAGTCGCAGTCGTGCGCCTTTCGGGAGAGGACATATCAATGCTATAGAGATGTTTCAAGCAGCTTGAAGCCCACTCAGAACCTATCGTGCTACAAGCGATTTCACCCGAGGGCGACGCCCTGGAGATGTGAAAACATGTGAAACTGACCACCACAAGTCACCAGATCTGTGTCTCGCTGTGAGTGGAGGATGTCCAGGGTTTGGAGCCGCTGGTGTGACCGACATCGACAGCCTGCCCCCAGAACTTTTGGCTCAAAAGCCAAAGACCATTGTCTGGGGAATTGAGGCAAGAGTCTTGAGGGGGGGTTATGTACAAACTATATAAGCCCTAGGGCTCCAAGTGCCTCCTCAGAGGGTATTTGGACCCTCTAAACCCACCCCAAACACCTTCTCAGAAGGTACTTGGAGCCCTAGGGAAGGGATTTATCTTGGCTGGAAGCTGCACGAATCCTGATCAACCAGCATCGATCAAGCATGATCCGGGATGATCACCGACACTCCGATACAGCCCTGGTGAAAGGAGTGGCTTTTGGCGATGTACACTGTGCATTGGCCCCAACATAGAATATGGATTTTTTACCTACATCAACACCTTTTTCAATCAATCCACCACCCCTTTACTGTAGGCTTCGCCGACCTGGGACATGGGTGTTCATCGCTTGGAGCGGGAAGGCAAGGGGGTCGGCAACTCCGAGGCTCCGCCCGAATCTCATCAGCTTCAATTCCGTGGCTCGGCACCGGTCTGGCGGGAGCGAAGCGACTGGTCGAAATGGGGCGATGGGTTGAAGAGAGAGAGAAGACCAAGAAACACACATCACCAAAAGAAAGAGACATACCATGATTGAAAGGAACACCAAACCAAAAAGAACCAACGGAATAGACAGAACGGAGGTGTGTGTGTTATTGGAAGGGAGCCGAATTTGTACGGGACCTGCCGAATCCCACAGGCACGACCTAAGGGACCTGCCGTCTGACCGGCACCCCCGCTTTGACTCCGACCTGCTGGACGTTTTGGATCGTTTTGGCCTTCAAACTTCAATGAGTTCTTAACCACCTGAACTTTGGGACTTGGGCTTTGTTGGGCTTTGTTGGGCGGACCGGTGTTCTTGGTCTTCTTCTAGTCGATCTGAGGTTCTCATCATCACATCCATCCGTCCGGAGCGGTGTCCACCAACTCCACCGACTCCAACACACGTGGGTCGAAGGGTCGACCAACCTCCGAAGGGTCGACCTATATCCGGATGACCTGACACCTAAAGAGAACTCGTCGTTATGTAGCTTAGTAGTGATGATGTTTTTGGATATTGGTTTGGTCATTGCTTGTTCGGTCATCCTCTCTCTTATTTTTAGATGTGTTCATGCTTGTATAGATGGATCCTCTCCAATCAGAAAACCTTCAACTTCTGAAAACTCTGCGCGTTGCCCAGGTGCTGAAGGCCTACGCCCGGTCGAAAAGCTCCGGCAAGTCGACCGACGCAGCAGAGAGGCTGTTCCGGGGCCGCTCGGCGTTGGTTGAGGACCGTGTGCGACAGCTATGTACTATATATGAATATATATATATATAGAGATATATACATATAGAGGTTGAGTCTGTCCCAGAAAACCTGAAACAGTCAGTAAACAATAATTATCACAAATTATCCTTATATTTTGGAACAAGGCATGCAACTGAACCCATCATCATCATCCACTAAGCCCTGGTCATAGGATCATCATTCAGTCCTATTGAGGTTCCCCAACCTGGAAAGTTGACCTAAAGAACTCAAGTCAGAAACACCGTGGCGAGCGGTTGAAATGAACTAACATGAGTGAAAGAGTTCTCCAGGACTCACAAAGGAATGCTATCCATGGAGGTTAGGGGTGCCCAATGGGTGCCCAGAACATCCACTCACCGGATGACCCCTGGCTGATTTTCTTTGTTTGGCCTCAACCTTCAGTTGTAACTCACCAGCTCAGCAGCCCGCATCCGACCTCCGAGGCATGACTGCTGCTGAGGTAGCACCAGACCTCATCAGCTACAACTCAGCTTTGAGCGTTGCAGTGGTGGCTTGGCTTAGAACGGATCCCGCAGTGGATTGAGAGATGGCACAAGTTACCTCAAGTTGGGTGGTGCAGTGGTGCAATGGACTGGACCCCCATCTAAAAGTCCTTTGGGCGTGGGTTCGCACCAGGATTCCGCTTCGCAGCGTGGAAGTGCGGAGACTTTGCAGCGCCTTCGCAGTCTTTCAGCCAGCGGCTTCCATGTACGAAGGCTAAAGAACTCCTTGGATATGCAGCTCAACATGTCCCCCAAACCAATCAATCTAAGAAAAACAAAACATATTTCTTTAGTTCTGGTGTCTCCAGTTGGCGATTGTCCAGTTCTATTGTGTGTTTCTGACTTGCAAACAGACTTTTGCTGTCTACCCTGCTGTCGCATTGATGTTTCATTGATTGGTTCTTTGATTCTTTATCAACCTGACAATCCGTGTGACATCTTTGGGCCCAAAGAACTCATGTTTTCTCAATGCAAGCATGACCCCAGGGAACTTTCGATAAATCCAATTCCGATCTAGGAATCCTTTACTAATACATCTCAATACTAATGTGGTTTAAGTGTCCTTTCATCACTATCCCTATCCCTTCGCTCCCATTCCAGTCCTTCCCTATCCCTATCCCTACCCCTTTCATCTTCATTCCAGAAAAATCCCTATCCCTTTTGTTCATCTTGTCTTCACAACATCCGGCCCGTTCGGCCCTTCCGAGTCGGAACCCTCTCCCGACAAGAAAAAAACCACCCAAAACCGGTAGCTACCAGGTATAGCAGGGTTTCATCAAACAGATTGAAAGTGCCCAAACGAACATGAAAGCTATTCACTGGTCACATCCATTAAGTCCATGTTCGACATGTCCGCGCACCACGAGCGCCTCCCAAAATCCTCAAAACCCCACGAGCGCGTTTAACGGGCGAAGCGAGTTCGATGTCGCTCCAAATCGGCACACGATGCAGACGTCAGACGTCAGACGTTCCGTCACTTCTAATAAGACACCGGTCTGGTGAAAATCGCACTCGATTTGGAAGAATTACTGTTTCTGAAACATCAGAAACATCTCCCACGCCAGCGCTCCTGAATTGACCCATAAATGTATTTTGCGTTATTAAATGAGGAGGTACTGATACAGTGTTTGATAGAGATCAGAGGTCCGATGTGGAAGCCTGGCGAAACCACCTGGCAGTAGGCGAACCTTCATGTTCCTTCAGCACGCTGTGTGCAGTGCGAATGCTTTTGGCTCAACACTTCTCGGGGGGCAAGTGATCTAAAGTTTCACCTAACCTGGCCTTGTCAGAAAGCCTGGCTCAGCCGGCTGTGCAACTGTGGGACGGATGGGCTTTGCTGCTGATGTGGCAGAGTATGGACGTGAGCATGGCATTACGAACTTTATGGAAGCATGGGATAGGTTCCACGACCCTCCCCCTGATTGGGATCCCTGGGATCCGGATCGCCGTCGCAGCAGCAGGAGCCGGAGCAGGAGCAGAGAACGGCAGAGAGAACGAGAAAGAGAAAGGCAGAGACAGGAGATCGAACTAGAAAGATGGCAGAGAGAAGCGGAGAAGCTTGCTGCAGTGGTGAGGCAGTGCATCGCAAGAAGTAAAACCAAAATGAAATTCCTTGCAGCCTGTGAGGTTATTGCCGTGGAGGATCCCCTGGCCGTTGCCGAAAGTGGGGAAGAAGTGGTTGAGACCATTTATGACCGCCTGGATGCAGAGGCTAGGAGACGGGGTACATCAAGTGATGAACTGGTTCAAGAAAGATTGGCAGGAAGGGAGTTCACTGGTTTCTTTGGGCCAAAGTCAGCTCATTGACAAATACACCCGAGCTGCACAAGTCACTTCAACCATCGCTGTTCCGTGTCCAAAAGTGTTTAACTGGAAGAGTTTGACGAATTGATTGCTTCTTACTACGCGCTTGGACTGGTTGTTGCAAAACCCTCATAAACCGTGCAGAAAAAGACCGTTTTAAGACACCAGAGGACCGCAGTTGTCACGGCATGGGCCAAGAATGTGCACCACTGCGAACAATCCATGCAATGAAAGGCATGACATGGCTTTGGTTCAGCTTGATCGAGAGTATCCTTGTCTTTGATACCCTCTTTTTCGACTGAACGTCACGCATGTGAATTTGTAAGACAAAGTTTGGGACAGGGTGGGTGCATTGGGGGGGGTCTCACCACACCTGAGGATTTGGGCCAAGGAGCATTGACTGGAGGGTAGTTCTTTGGGAACAAATGCACTTTTTGAAGAAGGGCTGTGCGGTCTTCCTTCGCTGTGACCTCGCACTTGGTCTTGCGGAATCCTTTTGGGGCATGGGTCTGAATTCTATCCTGAGGGCGAACTCAATCCATTATAAGTCAAAACTAGGACTGCTTTAGGACCACGGGATGTTCCAATATGTTTCAATGGCTTGACATGTGCGCAACTGTTGTCAGTAGCTCATGATGTGGCTCTGAGTAGGGTTTTGGATGGTGCCTCGGATCTTTCGATGGCCATGGATGTCCCTTACTCTTGGGTATGCATTCCTGGGTGGATGGAGGGGGTTGTTGAGTCCCTCGCGTTCCGTGGGCTGCTGGCCGCTGCGCTCCCCAGTCTTCTCTAATACGGCGATGTTCGAAGAAGCAGCGCGAGAGTTGAGGATTCCTCGAGATCCGGCGACTTGCAGTGGTGAAGATCGAAATACTTACTCCCCCTGGAGCCAACATGGAAGTGGAGTTCATCCCCTATTTGTGGAGGATTTCATGGTCTTCCTTACGGGGCCATGCCATCCACTTCCATGGAACGTGAGTCAGAGTATATTTTTTTTTCGAACACCAGCAGTTCCAAACAGGAAACGGTGCCAGTTCCGTTGGGTCGGGTCGGGATTTTGGAAGTCCTCTGTGGAACTGGTTGAGTTCAGAATTCAGAGTAAATAGGAGTCATCTGCCTCACTTTTCGGACTCCAAACCCGTTTTGCCTGCAGAAATGCCTGGATGACCCGGTGCCATCCCCTGAAGCCCCACCGGGACTTGGGGATTTGGGACCAAAATCATCAGGGTTCCGTGGATGGCCTGGCCCCGAGTTCGGATTGACCATGTTCCGAAGACCAAACAGATGGTTGTCACTCCACTTCGATGCTTATTCCACGGGTGGTGTATGTTCCCAACCTCCAAATGACATGGTGATGTGAGTTGCCCTCCAAAATATATAGACAATGCATGACAATGCATCTAGATATTGCATGTCCGAGGTGCTTCTGGAGATGTTGGCGGTTATCCGAAAAGTGGCATTACAGACACTGCCAGGCCCCGACATTCGACTCGCGGGCTCACATGCCGATGGCACTGCACTTCGCTGTGTCTCTGACATTGACGTTTGGGTGTCGACGTCTCGAAATATCAGTTGCCAGGAACGCAACACATTTGACAAAAAGCTCCGACAGCAAAAGGGATTCAACAAGAAACTTCGGCTTCAGAAGAGGTCAATGGGCCGCAAAGCAAGCAAGCTCGAGTTTTGGAATGGGAAAGAGTTCGTGGCTCGGGTGGATGTAGTGCTGGTGAACAGGAGCAAGGATGTGGGCTTTTGTGATCATGACTTCCCTTGCTTGACAAAGACCAGCTCGCGTGCTGAAGCCAGGCAAGCTGCCTTGGAGGTGTTGCGAGAACGCCCCGAGGCGCGGCAAGCGGTTCGGATGATGAAAGCTTGTTGCTGCAGTTTGGTAGAGCCTTCATCGACCATCTCCGGCTTTCTCTTGACCCACCTGGCCCGCCGGATTCTACAGGAACATGACGATTTGACGGCCTTGGCTTTATTCCTTCAGCTGCAGCAGCTGATCTATCGCGCTTTCAAATTCCTAGGGGCTTCCAAACGAGACTGGGACCCAGGCTACATTGATGGACAGGAACCAGAAAGTCTTCAAGACCGGATTTTGCTCGACTTATTCGCAGATTGCGCAAGCTCCTCATCTCGGAGCGGATTGAGACGCATGCGAAACACCATAGTTGAGGCTGGGCGTTCCTTACATCATGCATTACGAGCCATTGAGAAGGCTGATGCAGAATTCTTGCTTCAGCATCCAGTTCCTAATCTGCTCACTTCAGCATGTTTTTCAAAATGTTGAGCTTAAACAGTCCTTGGTTGGAAAAAAACAATGAACAACTGAACAACATAACACTCTCATACGTTCTCACACTTAGGTGCTTTCACCAGTTGCTGGCCGCTTGCTATCTAATCGCCCTGCAAACCATCACAAGCACCGCTGGAGATGGAGGGCCTGGCTGGAGCGACGGAGGAAGCGACCGCTCAGAAGAAAACTTCAAACATCTCAAAATAAAAAATGGGACTAGGAACCAGTTCTTGGACGCATTGTGGAATGTGAAGGGATTCCGTTTAATATGGTTTAACTATATATATACATCACCACGGCCACCGCTGCTGGCTGCCGAGAAAAGGTGGTTTTCCACATCGATGACGCATCAATGACGTCATGAGTTTCATCTCGGTTGCGCCGATCTCGGAAAAAGAACAGCACGGAGAGTGGGCCATAGTGGGTGAGAGGTGCCCGTTTGTGAGGGGTCCGTTTGGAGATTGGCCAGGGCTGATGCATCATTAAATCATTCAGAAGAATAATTAGACTGACCGACTGACCTGAAAAAGAGCGGAACTAAGACTCAGCTTGATACCAGGAAGGATTCTGGAAGATCTATGACTTCTAGAAGTTAGAGAAGCAACATTTTGACCTTTGAAAGCCGCTGGATGCAGCTGGGAGGTGTAGATGTTCGAGAGCCTAAAATTAAATGCGACAACTCATAAAAAACCACGCAACACCCAGGCCAGTTCCTTTCGTTCATTCCTCCCCGAGGCCACCGGTTCCCCCGCTGCCATCGAACGCTGGGTGCGGCGCCTTTGCGCGGCGCAGCTGCGGCCCGACGGGGCGACCTTCACGACGCTGCTGCGCGAGGCGCGGCACCGAAACCAACCGAAACCGGTGGCGCCGGCCGTTCCGGTGGCACTGAAGAGGTCTAATTCCCGGTGGTGGCGCCAAAGCGGCGGTTTTGGGGGCTTGTTTTTTTGGGGGATGGCCCATGGCTTTTGGATATTCTGGAGGAAGATGTTCCAAGAACTGGAGATGGGAAGGTCAAGCCACAGACTTTTTGGGGGGGGGAGGCCTTTATTGATCAACGTTTGGTGTGAGGGGATGGCGTCGGACAGTGTCGATGAGCTGGACGACTGCACGTTGGAAGGTTGTGGGAACACGTGCAAGTGGATAGGCAGTCAATTGTTGGATAGTTAGCCATCGGCTCGAGCTTACCAGTGAGCTTGGCTGCTTGGCTGTTTTGGAGAACTTACTGGAAGGTTTGGTAAGTACGTCATTATATATACTGCCCAACTGTACCACTTGCACCTGTCACAGCACCCCCCCCAAAAGACCGAAAACGGAACGGTGAACAGCCACCGGACTGCTCGTGCAACGAAGCCACCGGACAGTCCGGTCCGACGCCGGCGTCAGAAGCTGAAGCAGAAGGGCGATGAAGCTGAGTCAGGAATTGGTAGACATTTGGGATGACCTACACTCCCAAAAAACTCACATGGACCCAAGTCGAATGGGACGGAAAGACTGTTTTCCTTTAGAAACCACCAGTGGTTTACAGGGTCTATGTTCGTTTGGACACGGGGTATGCCCAAACGCTCCATGGGACTGGACGTCCATATGCCTATTCATTGACACCCCCCTGGCACCACCCCAACTGATCGGTAAATATGGCAGTCCCATTAGTCGTGTTTGGATATAGTATAGGTGGATGAACCAAACCCTAGAAGTCCAGTTCCACGATTTGTGGTGACCTAAAGGCCATATTAAAGTCGACCAGACTTCTAGGGCAAAGGCATAGAAGTTTTAGTTAAACTTGTTGGCCTTCCCAAAGCCCAAAGGTTAACTGATTTGAGGCCTAGATAAAGGCCATGTAAGTCTCATGTTGTATTTTCTGGTGACAGATTTTTACGTAGTACTGTGCCAGATTTTTGACCGGCTGCACATGTGGAGAAAACATCATCAGGACAACCCTTCCATATCCAAACCCAGTCCAGTTTTCATAGGGTGTGGTAGGTGAATTGTGTATTCGTGTTGAGGCTTTGCATGCGATCCTTGTGAGAGACATATAGGCAAATTATCATCCAGCGAAAACCATGTCGTCACCCCCAGTGTTTTGCTACCTCTTTACTAGCTGAAGATGAGCTAGCCGGATCAAAGCCTCAAGACCCTCGGTTAAGACATAGTGACAAGCCTTGGAAAAGAACATCATCCGCATATCTGTCGCATACCCTCAGGTGGTTGTATAGAGCCCCCCCAACACCCACCCTAAGCATCTTCGAAGAGGTCGGCCAAGCCCCAAAAAGGGTGGGGACGCCCAGGGCTGCCTCGCCCCGCCGTCGTTGTTCACGCTGGTTCGGCCTTCGTCCGGTCCGCCGTATCTTGGCAGGCAGGCAAAGATGTGGAGCCTTGGGCGGAATTCAAGCGATCCGGACCCTCCGTCCTGGAAACCTCCAAAAAGCAACAGGATTGCGGCATGCAAAAGAGATAACAGAAATCGTCGTTTCTTCGTTCGTTTCGTTTTCTCCCCGGGAGCGCGCTTCGTCGCTGCGGGTAGTTTCTATATATTCCTCTCCCAAGAAAACTTGCCAGCAGGTCATGACTGGTTCCCCCCCCCGCTTTCTCTTCGGAGACCTGATGATGTTGGGTTTCCATGGCGCTGTGTCAAGACCTGAAGATGTTGCGCCATTGAACTTTTTGAGATCTTTTGAGAAAGCCACGCTTTTCAGGAACACCCGCCGACACCCGCCCAAAAATGCACCTATGGAGCTATACAGCCATTGCACACACTTGTCAATGGAATTTCGAAAAGGCATCGTCTCAAGGATGACGTGTCGCGGCGAGCACTTGTTTGTCTCGTTTGCCCAGGCGCGGGCAGAAGCTTGGTTCGTCGCTCGGCCAGCAAAGCCATGTTTGGTCCACGGCGAGCCTTGGACCGGATCAGCCGGTCCCACTACGCGCAGACCACGTGGACCCCTTGGACCTGTTCGCTGAATCGTTGGTCCGCTTGAAGACTCGGGGTGGATGAAAAGACATCCCTAAGAAGTTAGAAGTCCATGCCAGGTCGCTTGGGGAAGGAGTTCCATGCCAGGTCGCTTGGGGAAGTGTCACTATGTCTAAATACTGTTCTTCAGCCTGCAAGCTTCGCCAGCTTCTGCTGGTTTGGGCACTTTCCTCGGGTGCTCCAGAAGAGAAGCGGTGCTTCCTCGGTTTTAGAGGGGATGGAGGGAGAAGGAGAAGACCACAACCCCCGTGCTCAGTGCTCAGCCCACTGGGCCCCTTTGGGCATGACCTATGCCAATGTGTCTTGTTGTCTTTTTATGTGATCGAACCACGCAGAGACCGTGGAAGGGATCCTGAGGGCAAAAAAGGCACGTTTGTCTGACCAGAGCGCAACCGGGATTGCAGCAACTAACGTGCAATCTGCCCTGAGAGAGGCTGGATGAGTTTGGGATATTTTGGCCTGGTTTCCACGGTTTGGGCATCTAATTTGTTTCTACCCAAGGGCTCCAACCACCTGAGGTGCTTGGGGAGGGTGCCAGGGGGGGTCTAACCACCTTCTGAGGATATGGTTGGAGCCCTAAAAAAATGTGGTTCCTTAGCTGCTAAGCTTTGATCAATTGAAACATGTGCTTGAAGCTTCAAGGAGTGGCTCCTCTCGGCGGGCGGTCAACCTAATGGCCATGCCTATGCCAAGATCATCGCCATGTGTGATGAACAGCAGCAGGCGAGGGTGGGCTGTTTTGGCCTATGAGCTGTCGTGTTTTCATAGAATTGTGGTAGCCGTCCTCCATACAAGTCGAAGAGTTCGGAGTTCGGACATCACTTGCTTATACTTGCTTGTTTATCCGGACGTTGGGAGGCGAAGAAAGCGGCAAGGTGTGCTTGCGGGTCTTATGCTCAAGACCAGTGTGTGGGTTGGGTCCCTTGAAGATGGAAAATGGTTGAAGGGTTGGGAAAAGAAGGAGCCTGAAGGATACCAGACAACATGAGCATCAGATGCTTTGACCATGCTATCAAGCTCCTGGTCAATGGTTCACGTTCCATCCATAAGGCAGTGCACAAACAAAACAATTAGGTATACAGACATTGTTCTGAATCTCATTCGCATGGCAGGTTTGTAGCAACCCAGAGGGCTCAGGGTGTAGGAGGGAGGAGCATAAGCATAGAAGGCCGTAGAGTCGTGCCCAGGTATACGTATGTAGTACCTTTCCTCATGGTTTGGAGGGCCAGCCTTCTTGCAGAGTCGTGAGCGAAGAGTCGCTTTGGACCATCTACCTTGGGGTCCTATGACATTTTGGAACATCGAACTGGTCACTATTCTAGAGGCCTTTACTAACCATCATTGAATCATCATCCGTTACAGGGAATAGGATACACCCAACATCTATAGGTTCTTTTTCAGCAGTTCTTCTCATGGGGATCCCGGCCGGCTGGGGTACTGGAGTGACTCAGAAGTGGATCGTGATCCTTCCGGGAAGGATTTGTCCGGTGAAATACTCCGTCGATGTGTTCGATGTGTTCGCGTGCCTCACCCCTTTGGGAGCTGCTGGTACATAGTGGATTGAGAGTAAATAGATGGCACACATGTCCAAGTTTGGTGGTGTAACGATGGACCCTCCGTCCAAGAGATCTTGGGCTAGCAGGGCTGGTCTGCAGGGCTGGTCCCGACTCGAGCAGGTCTCCCAGGCGGACCAATGGCTGGACCGGCGCCTTGGAGAAATGTCTTAAAGGACCCCAGAGGAGCTGAACAGGAGGGCTTTCTTCGGCTACCTGGCAGTGGTAGCTTGCAACCAGCGTCACAGCCAGCACGGTGCAATCAGAGGTCTTTGATGAAACGTGGTAAGTGTTGCAAGATCAAAGAGTTGGTGCAGTTGGTAGCTCCAAGAGTTGCAGAAGCTAAGCCTGTGCGGCGCTAAGCGGAGGCCCAATCGACTTCACGTCAAGGTTCGAAGGATCCAAGAAACACATCACAACATATACCCATTACACGACCTGTCTGGGACTGGAATAGGACTGCTGCCCCATTGACCCCGACTTCAACCACCCCAAGGTAGGTAAATATATACCATACATGGAGTGTTTGGGATATGTATCACATATCCAGGCATGCGTCCGATGGTTGCAGGGTGGTTGCTGGCTCCGCCCGCAGCCCTTGGGCTCCGCAGGGCGGATGTGGCGAAGCAGCCGGGTTTCGCAACGGTGAATTGAAGCGTCCGAATTGGCAACACGATGTTTGAAGCAGAAAATGATTCAAGCAACTGGACTGTTCTGGCTTGAGCATGCAGCTTTTGAAGCAGAACATTCGTGCTCACAACATAGGAGTTTTGATTCAGCACTCCCAATCCAAAGGAGTCGTTGTTGTTGATTCAGACTTTGCTGTTGAGAACTGAGAGACGTGGACTGGGGTATGCAACAGATGCAGCTTTCTAGAAGCTGTACGTACGTTATGTGCATTTATGCACCTTGAACACTAAACTGTTTTGGGGATGGATCTGGTGCACCAGTTCGAGACCCAGAAAAGCAATGAAAAGCATCCAACATCACCAACCTCATCATGGGTTCACACCCTACCAATCTCTCTATACGCTTTTCAGGGACCCCGCCAGCACCATACCCTGCGCATCGCGTTGGCGCATGGGGAACCAGCCGCTTCGAGAGCCATGGAAGAGACGACGACTGCGGCCGTCGCCTTTGCTCGCAAAGGTGGCTGCAGGCACAGGGAACAGGCAGACACTTGATACATCTTGATTAGCACTAGATTGACAGAACCAAGGTTGATACAGTTAGACACTTGATACATGTTGCAAGACTCTTCAAGCTTGATACATCATGATTGACAGAACCAACCTGTTGGGGGAACGAGGTCTGCATGTATAATAGTCTGGGAGTCAGTTTGGGAAGAGGAGGTGCAGCTGTTGTGGAGAAGCGCTTCCAAGAAACTTGAATTACAGTATGTTTCAGAATAGATGGCCCAAACCCGAAGATGTCTTGTACTTGGGGGTCCATGTAAACCACCTTTGGGGGATTGCACCATCTACTCTGAAACCATCTGAAACTACTGTATATAATTGCTTTGGAGCATATGACCAGCTTCAATCTAGTTTCAATCACTTCAGCTAAGTACTTGGACTTGATGTTGTACTACCAGAGCTTGGAAGAACCTATGGCATAGTATTTCACATAAATTTTGAGGTCTCAACAAGGTTCTAGCTGTCCAGGGGGGCCTTTCCACCTCTTCGTTGGGGCCGTTTGTTTAAACGTCTTCCGACAAGAGGGGCAGGATCCTATTGATAATTGATAACAGTCCCCATCATACATATATATACTGTATATATATGATCACATGGAGATGGGTCAAAACCTGCCTGGTCCACCATGTAGCGAAAGACTTTTGAGGTAGGTCGAGCAGGGGGGTCCTGGTGCCTGGTGTCATGATCCACAGCCACTTCTATCTTTTACAGGCCTTTACTATAACCATCATCCTCCACTGTTGGAGTGATCAGGGTTGGACCCCAAAACACTTACTGTATTCCCCTCCTATGGTGGCTTCAAGACCCGGGCACTCTTAAGTACCCAAAACCCGGGCACTCTTAAGTACCCAAACACCATCCCAGCGGAAGGACCCAACGCTGTGCACCGTTTCCGGGCGTCCCTACCAGGACCGTTGATGGACACCCCGAATCACCTCGAAGAGGGGCTATCAATGGAAGCCCCTGGCCCGGGCGTCCTGGTATGATTTCCTGTTGCGGCTGAAGGGCCTTCTCTACCTACAGCTGGTGGTTTCCGGGCCATGCCGGCACATCTTCCGGTCCGCATGGTGGTGCATGGTGCGGCTTCAGCCACAACTGTCCCACTCCTCTGCCGTCCTCAACAGGTCGGGGCCTTGACTGCGTGGAGCGTGCGGAGCGGAGCACGTCCGCCACGGACGTGGAACGGAGACAGCTCTGGCTGCAGTGCTTGTGCGTGGTGCCTCGGCTCGGTGCCCTGCGCCCGGGCGCACCGACACGTGCCCTGCGCACGTCTACATGATCTCTTTTTTTCCATGCGGGCATTCAGACCCAGGGTGTCAAGCTCGTGTGGCTGGGTTTTGAGTCGTGAGTCGTGAGGCTTGATTTGTCCATTCGATGTGACCATAACCGAATCCCCAACGAATCATACCTGGATGATCCTCGGTGGCTTTTAACCTTATCACCTTGAACACGCGCCAGCGTGACGCGGGGGGCCAGGGCCAGCGTGACGCGTGGGGGTGAATCTGCGCGCCTGGGCTGCTTAGGAAAGTCTCAAGGAGGAAGAGCCTCAGGACCGATGCGCGGTGCTCATCGGGGGGGGCTGGAAGAACCTGTGGCTTTGGAGATGCTGTTTGATCCACCCGCCCTGCTCCATCGCGGGGTCGGAGCCATCTAAGAGCCCAGAGTCTTCCAGTGATAAGACCCAGTTGTTCGACCAATATTACTCAGGATGACTCATGGAATCCAAAGCTATGTGGACTCCGGAAAGGAAGCAGGTGATTCCGTTTCCTCTCTATTTGGACAGGATGCCAAGTATTGCCAAGTGACTTGTATAAGTATAAGTGTTTGTGTTGAAGGAGTGATTTCAAGCAAGGTCGGCCCTCCGCACCGCCGGTCGTGGCCTTAGAACTGAGGTTCCGCCGGTGAAGCCGAAGCCGTGTCCCATGGGAAGAGGATCAGAAGTTTTTGGAACACTCCCTTTGAGTCTCCAGCGAATTCCCAAGCAAGGATTCAATTCCGGAAGAGTTTTTGAGGGTTCAATTTAGGGCTTAGGGTTTAGGCATGTGCATGTGTGCTATTTGGTTGAGCTGGGTGGATTGTTTGTGACCACCTCTTTTATCCTTTTTTGAGATGGACACATTTTGCAGGTGTCAGGTGTTTTGCGAGAATAGTTAGAGGTTACAGTATTGGAGATGTACAAAGTTTGCCTGCAGGGGTTTTGTTTTATTTGGATGACGGCCTTTCTGTTGAGCCGATGTGTCAGGAATGCAGGTTCAACCTGCCAAGATGTCCTTGAAGTTCATCCATTTCTGCTTGTTGCAGAGACGCAGACTGTAGACTCTATGTAGTCTTTATGTAGACCATGCCTGTTTGTTCGATCCTGTGTTGTCATGCTGCATGTCATCCGAAGAAGAGCCCCCACCACAAGTCGAACGACCCGAAGACCGAAGACCTTGGCTGCCGAAGACCACCAGGACTTGTTCCAGTATCTTTTGGCGCTGCCATTGGAAGATGAGAACCTCATCTTTGCGGAAGCATGTATCCAGAAGGCGGACAAAACGCCGCGAATCAATCCGTTGTTGACTGGGATTCGTCGGTTTGTCGCTGCGCGTAGCACTGACGTTGCTTACGTTGCATGTGTTTGATCCGAAGAAAACAGTGGGACGGGCCCTTAGGTTTTGCATAGACGACCGAGGACTGGTATCGATGGGAATGATTGGAAGGACTCTACTATATCGACTATATTGACTAAGGACAAGCCATGAAGCAGCACCTCAAGTTTTCATGGGGTTGACAGCTTGACCTTGGTAATTATACATTAGTGCACTATGGGTTGACAGCTTTTTGCACCTCATGTTTTCAACGGATATGATTCGGATGGAGATGAACTAGTCCACTGCCTCCCAGGTTGAGGAAAGTGAATCTCTCACAGCATTTTGAAAGGCATGCTTTGCTTTCTCATTCAAACACTCCATTGAGGCCAGGACCTTTTGCTTGCCCAATTCTCCTCATCCCTTCAGTTCAAGAAACGTTCTCGCACGGCGGCCAGCTGGCTGAGGTTTCAACTGGGAGTCCTAGCATGCGGAATGTATGTGGCTCCATGCACACACGCAAAAACTAGCTCCGGAGCTCAGCATTCCCAAGTTAGCTCATGTGTTTGTACCTGTTGTTGATGCTTTGCGGTTGGTATTTGCGTGTTGATGCTTTACTGGTTTTGGCTTCCGACCCTCCCACTCTTTGGACAAGCATGTGCAACAAACTCCCTTGGTTTGGGTCACAACCATTCACGCTTTAAAGATGCTGATAGATGCGATGTAGATCAGCTCATCCTCCCAAGCAACAAACGCCACCACACATCTCCAGCTCGTCCGTGACAGGACTTGGATCGGGTTTTTTCCACATTGCTTCGGGCAACCGCGGGTGGAGCTTCCTGGAATCAAGACGGTTGAAGACAGACGGGCGGCGATGGGTTTTGCTATGGTTTTGCTATGGGAGTGTCCACGATTTTTGGGAGGTGCGTTGCGTGCGATGTGCATGGGTGGATTTGCTTTGATGTCGGCCCATGATTCATAACACCTCGCCCCACAGAAGGTCAGAAGGTTTGGGAATGAACTACTGTGGAGCACTACCTGTCACTACTCCCCAGAAAAAGTGGGGAGTTAATTTTAAAGACACATCTCTTCATGAGGAGAAATCCAAAGACTAACAAAATCTCTTCATGAGGAGAGGACCCCCCTAAAGAATGGAGATGAGATAGTGAAGAAAGGGGAGAGACACCAACTAACCCCCAAGACTCAAGGTCTTCATGGAAGGAAGGTGCTTAGTATTGAAATGGCAGCAAAATTCAGAAACTTGTCTCAGGGTTATAGCATTGCAGGAAAAAGTTGAGCCAAATTAACATGGGGAGCTCTCAATCATGTGTTCGCATGAATGGGACAATATAGGACACCTTCCATATTTGTGCATGGGAGGGCATC